ACTATCATTTATGTGGCAGAATACAATATTTATTTGCTGCACTACACAAACATGACAATTTATATTACATTACAAAGTTTATCTCTCAGAATTACTAATGGAAGCGCACCTAGCGACATCTATTGTAAAAAAATGCATTTTCTTCGCAATAAAGCTGCCACCTGGACGTCCTAGATACAGACTTATTAATATAATACGATAAAATAAAATATTACTATGATTCGTCCAATATATTGAAAGTCAACAACCTTTCCAATTTTATTGTTTTCGTCTTACGAATTTTCGATTTATAATACGATAAAATAAAATATTACTATGTTTCGTCCAAAATATTGAAAGTCAAAAACCTTTCCAATGTTATTGTGTGCCATGATGCGATCAGCCCACGTGTTTAACCTGACGCGAATTTAACATTTTTTACCCATACAAAAAAAAGTGTACAACGCCGCTAAAGATGTTTTCACTTCAAAAATCAGAATTATTTTCACCTTACAATACATTGATTTTCTCGAATATATGAGAAACAGCTTCTCTCCCCACTAGCCATTATCTACTGATGATATTATAATACTAGTACAGCATTAAATAGTTTTTCTTTCGAAGCCGCGTGTATGGACCAATATCGCTTGGTTGGTAGGTAGTATTGGCGGGGTAAACATGCGTGACTCAAATACAAACGGGCGTGTTTATCGGAAAAAGGTTTGCTTACTGCGAAAACGCAATCCATCCATCCATCCATGAAATAAATAAATAAATAAATTTATTTATTGACAAAGACAAAACATGCTAAAATTTTTAAACCAAGAAGTACGCTATACTGCAATGTGTGGCGATTGAATGCGTTTTTTTTGCCTCCAGGTATTAGAAATACCTAGACGTGATGGTTGCTTAAATGTAGATAAGTATACCTAATTAAAAAAAAATACGTGTGGCACTCAGGGACTGCCGCGGTAAAGCTATTTCATTATTTATCTACTTATGCAATTATATTTTTTTACGCAGTTTTTTTTATATTAATAAATGGCGAGGCAAGCCCTATGATATTTTATTGGGCAAGCAAAGCAAACAACAGTATTGCCCGGTGCCAAAAAACTTCCACAAGCTCCACAGTTTACCATCGTTAGTTCAAAAATTTAAATTATAATTATAGTCTAAATAAAAGGGAGACAAATAAAAAAAGAACAGGTGCTGGGGTCTAAAACAAATATATAAAAAAAGGAAAAAAATAAAATAAAAAATACGAATCCGGGATTTGAACCGACTACCACGGTGATGCGTCGAACGTTGGTCCCGTGGCAAAAGCTTAACACACTGCGTCGTTTCGAGCGATACTGGAAAGGCAAAAATTGTGTTCATATGCACTGTTGTCAGGTTATTTTCGTTGCGGAATTTCTTGATTCGGTCGCCGCGCTCAAAGCCCGCGATATAACCTATGCAATAGCTTAAAAATAAAAAGGAAAAGCATTCAATAGCCATGTATTAGAAATACCTGGAGGCATCAGAAATACCTAGAGGTGCTGGTTGCTTACATGTAGATAAGTTTTTTTTAATTTGTGTAACGTACATGTACGTGTAAGCAAACAGCAACTCTAGGTATTTCTAATGCCTCTAGATATTTTAGGCTTTGTCACTAAATGCGCTAAAATTAGCGTTCGAAATTTAAATTAGTTCTATCGTAATGAATCTTCATGAATCATCTCTGAAGTCATTATTTTAATTTGATGACTCTGTAAATAATAAAACAGGGAGAAAAAAAACAGCCCTCAAGGTCTACCGCCGTAGATTTACGAACCTAGACATTCATGAGTGCTTGTAACAGCCTAAATTGAATAAATGATTTTGATTATGATTATGATTAATCGGACTGCGTGTCTATAGATGCTAGACCATAGCTTCACTGGCGATAATTTGACATAAACGCATAAACGAGGTTGTAGAAGATAAAAAAATTTAATGTGAAGAAGGAGCGTATTTAATTGAAAGTTGACATCGACTCATGTTTTCAGTTTTTGATGTCATCTTCAATTGACGACACTGTATGAAACAAAACAGGGAGAAAAAAATAGCCCTTGCTGAGTTTCTTGCCGGTTCTTCTCAGCACAAGGTCTCGCGCCGTAGATTTACGAACCGATGGCGTAGCGTTTGCCTTTCACAAGAGCTTGTAACAGATTAGACAGAATAAATGAGTTTGAAATTTGTTTTTTTTTAATTTAAATGCTTTTTATCGCATTTTAGTACCAAAACTTCGTCACGCGGTGTGGGATAGGTATAACTTTGACTTTCTTACTGTAACTTTAATCACTTTTAATGCTGCAAGGTAGGACACGATACGACGAAAAAAACTCTGGGTTAAAATTTAATGAGATTTTACAGATATACATCTGTTTTGTAACTCTATCGATAGGCACTAATTTCAATCCTGGGGGCATTTGGACAAGTGTCCATACATTTATGCTCCGCTCAGGTTCGAGTGGTCTAGAGGGTCCAGACGGAGAGGAGACTCCCCCATTGGGGAAATGCCATCCGCTTGGAATACCTCTAGAGGCACTGGCCAATTCTCTGCTTGAGGTCCACTTAGATTCTCACCGTCCCCAAACCCGTTCACGCTGTAAACGTCATCTGCGACCAACAGGAGACTCCCCATACACACTCCAAAAGGAACAAAACATTTTTGCCCATTGTCCTTTACGATACTGCCTTAGTTTAAGTTCCATATATGAACAAGCTTCTTGGCTTTCTCATACCATAACATTTTGTAAGCAGCATGCAATTATCAAAATCTAAATAGACATAGCCACATATAGCTGGACGAAACAAATTTTATTCTAAGAGTGGTAGGTAAAAGCGGCTTATTTGGTGGAATTGGAGCGCTGGTCTAGGAAAGCAACCGCCACCGTACAGAAGAACACAGTACAATATCACTTACTAGTGTTGGTGTGTTTTTATCGGTGAGGAAGGTTCCAGGGCGCCACGAGGAGAAAGGATTGGGTCAGGGTAGGCAATGGGCCCAGTGATATTTTTTGTATGGCAAGCGTCTATAGGTTATGGTGGCTACTCACCATCAGGCGAGACATGTGCTTGTTTCGTAATCATCATCACCAGCCTATTAATGTCCCCACTGCTGCGGCACAGGCCTTCCCTATGATATGGATGGAATATCCCTGATTGGCGGGTGCTAACGACTGGAGATGCAGCCGGGACCAACGGCTTAACGTGCTTTCCGAAGCACGGCAGAACTCGAGATAGAAGATTTTTGGTCACCCATCCAATAACCGACCACTGCGAAAGTTGCTTAACCTCAACGATCGCAGCCGAACGCGCTAACCACCTGCGCCATCGATCTTATACTTGTATACCATCGTTTTATTATTAGGTAACATAAAAAGAAATCTAGAAAAGAAATCTTGCTTTTGTTTCTGACAGAGATGCTTAACGAAAAAATCACCGTATCCCAATTATTTACATCTCGTGGCCTGCAAACCTCAGATCGGACAAAAAAGAAATAACAAAAGCAAAATTTATTGTTAACAAAGCTTATTTGCGAATTTAACGCGGGTCCTTCAAATAGTCCGATAATTGATGACCCGATTTGTGCTTGTAGTACCCTTGTTTTGGAGGACCCAATTAAATAGTAGTTCAGTAATGGTAGCGGTTGTTCAAAATAGCCTTGAAATGGTTACGCTACAATATTAATATCTATGCTGTGATTATGCTGTGGGTGATGTTATCGGGCGGGGTGGAGTCATTTGTCGGAGCTATCTATATAAAAAAATGGGTGCGTGTACTTATGTAGGCGCGTGAGAAGTTATCCTTCTTTGGAAACGTTTAAAATTAGTTTTGAATTGCATGCAAATAATTAATTACAATAAATTAATAAAAAGTCTGGAAAAGGACACAGTCAATAAAGTTCAGTTTTAATTTGAAAAAATAAATAAATAATCAAAATATTCAATTAAAATCGCTACTGAATATAATTTATTACAACATATGTGATTTGCACTTGTATGAAGCTCAAACACGTATTCCGAATATACAAACTAGAAACACGTGGATAAATATTATAAACTAGCGGCCCGCCCTCGCTTCGCTTCGGTGTAGAGCTGAAGTGTAGACTACAGTTTTTGTTCTCAGGCTTGTATTATACACAATGACATTCATCTATGATTCTTCTTATACCTGCATGCAAAGTCTCAGCCCGATCGGTTTAAAATTGATAAAGTTTCATACAAACTTTCATTCCTTATTTTATCCCCTTGGGATTTTCTTTATATTTTTTTCCGTAAGAACCTTGTACAGAGTATTAGAAAACTACAAAAAAAAAAACAGCCAAATCGGTCAAGCCGTTTTCATGTTATGTCGTGACAACGGAAAACGGGTTTCATTTTTATATATATAGATATGAAAACAGTCTCTGTTCTAAATTCAAAACTCGTAACTTTTCCCGATGTTTGTTGCACGTGTTTCCCGCGCTAGGACCGCGAGTGGCCACGCATGCATACGGTGCGGCGGGCGACGCGGTAATGTCAGCGCGGCACATGAAGTTGGTCGCTAAAGCGAGCGGTGTTAATTTATTGTGTTACATGATGCGCGCGCATCTTAAAATTTCACTCTCAACAATTTTTCAGAACGCGCCTATAGAAGTATAACTTCAAAAAGTTTCGTACTTTTTATGTCAAAATTAAAATGACAGGACGAGAAGTTGTTCTTGGAGCGTAGGTTTGGAACGGAGCCCCCGGTAGTGAGTTGCCAAAAAATGCTCGATGAAACAATACTCTACTCCGTGACCTGCGCGGAGAGGGGGGGCTCGGAAAGCTAAAATATTTTGGATGTAAACAAATCTGAATGAACGAATGAATTAATTTACATTCATTCGTTCATAAACAAATATGTGTAGTGAAACAAAGTTTTGTGTCGACACGCTGGAGACCTGGCTTAAAACTTTATTAACTTTTTTAGATGCGGTCGTTACACTTAAGTTTATGAGTATATTATGTACTCACTGTTCTGTTTCCAAGGTCGTGAACCCTGCAGTTGAGCTGTGCGGTCTTGCCGACGAGCGCGGTGACATTCTTCGAGTAGGCGATGTCGAAGTGCGGGCCCCGCTGAGCAAGCCCTAAGTCCACGTCTGTGTAGTCTAACTCTGGGACGCCATCTGTGCCGAGCCCGTTCGTGTTGTCTGTGCAGCCTGCGAAAGAAAGTAGGTACAGCTACGTTTAAAATATAATAAACTAGCGGCCCGCCCTCGCTTCGCTTCGGTGTAGAGCTGAAGTGTAAACTACAGTTTTTGTTCACAGGCTTGTATTATACACAATGACATTCATCTATGATTCTTCTTATACCTGCATGCAAAGTCTCAGCCCGATCGGTTTAAAATTGACACAGATTCATACAAACTTTCATGCCCTATTTCATCCCTTTGGGGGTAGAATTGATCAAAATCCTTTTTTAGCGAATGTCTACGTCATAACATCTACCTGCATGCCAAATTTCAGCCCAATCCGTCCAGTAGTTTGGGCTGTGCGTTGATAGATCACTATGTCAGTCAGTCACCTTTGAGTTTTATATATATAGATAGATAAATATTTCTAACACTCACATCCTTCCCCCAAAGTAAACATATTCCGCCTAATTAAAAAACGTAGACTCAAGTTAAACCTGGACTAAAACAGATGCTGTCACTTTTGTTTGTAAAAAGGAAGACAAAGAGGATGTAAGGATTAAACCAAGGCTAACTTTAGCCCGCGTTTTGGAATAAGGCGAGAAACGTGAAGAGGTAACAGACAGACGGAAAGACAGACACACTTTTGCATTTACTATGTATAGACCATAAACAAGGTGGCAGGCAGTGCATCGTGTGTTATATATGTACATACGTATGTTGCTTCTTAAGGACTTCTATACACGGTGGCCCACGAAGAGCTCCGCGATGGAGTGGTGTGTTCGCCACTAAATATATAGTATTACCTACTCAAAGGTTCTGGGTTAGAATCCCGTTAAGGTAATTGATGAATTATGGCATATACGTAATTAAATTAAAAGCCCCGATCACAAATATATAAAAAGTGAAAAAATAATATAATTTTGTTTATCCCATTTTCAACTTTATTTTAACATTCTTAAAAATAGAAAAATATTTCCAACACTCACACCAATTAACCTAGCAACAAATTAAGCATTGTAAGGCTTGTGCTATGGGATACTAGGGTAACGGATAGAATACATATATTATACATATATAAGTATATTTATATAGAAATACATTTTAAACATCCATGACTAGAGCACAAATGCTCGTATTCATCGCACAAACATCTGCCCCCACCGGGATTCGAACCCGGGACCTCTCGAGTCGGCGATACCATGAAACCTGGCGTATAAACCACTCGGCCACGTAGGTCGCCAAAATAGTTAGACCCAAACTTCGTCAAGTGAATACAGTGGAAACCATACAAAAAAGTGTTTCGAATATACATCTCATCATTATCAGCCTATTAATGTCCCCACTGCTGGGGCACAGGCCTTCCCTATGGATGGAATAGGGAGATTGGGCCATGGCCCACCACGCGGGCCCAGTGCGGTGGGTGCTAACGACTGCAGATACAGCCGGGACCAACGGCTTAACGTGCCTTCCGAAGCACGGAGGAGCTCGAGATAGTAAATTTTCGGTCACCCATCCAATGACCGACCACTGCGAAAGTTACTTAAATTCAACGATCGCAGTGGAACGCGCTAACCACTGGCGCCATCGAGCTCCTCTAGTAATTATAATTAAAATAACGACTTCTTTAGCGGTCCTCCTGCTTGATGATGTTCGTGTCAGACTACTCTTTTTAGAAGGAAAAAATAATCATCTTGTGTAAGCATTTAACTACTAGAGTCTGTGCGGAAAGAGAATGGGCGTGGCGAAACACGGAACTAACATTAAGATTTTTATTTGGCAATCAAACCCAGCAATCTGTAAAACGTCAAACTTTTGTATTCATATGGATTTGTTTGTTGTTGTGATTTCTTGCGGTTTATTGTATTTGATCATGTCTAAAAGGGGTAAAACCTTACAAATACGGTAGAAAAGTACTACAGCGACCTCTAATCTAAATCCCATTTTCTTTCCGCACAGACTCTATCTGCAACTAATGAGTATTGTGATATTATTCTTCAAGCACACAAATTATAAATAAATAACCTAAAACAGAAATATGTGATACCAGTCCCAATAATAGCAATGTTTATCTTTATGCAAGACCTGTTTAAATAAAAACAGTTATCCCAAAACAGGGATTTTTCTACGCCCCGTCATTTCTCTAGACTTTAGTAGACGTGGGCAGGTAGATTAATTGACTGCCTAAAATCACTACAGCGACCTCCAATCTAAATCCCATTCTCTTTCAGCACAGACTCTAGATGTTTTAATCTAGCGGGATTATACGTCCCGTCTGCTGCCTGGTCCGCGTGGATTTTTTTCTAGTAAACTTTTCTATAAATAATCAACTTGCCTATGACATCATAAGAAAATAAAAAGATCACTGAATTCGAAAACTTCCTCTATACGCATGCGCTTTGATAAAAGGTACATATTTTAAATTATACAAAGCAGACATCACTTCTTATAAAAGATCACGGATTCCAAAACGGTACAAGAATTTTGAAGTAAGTAAAAAAATCCATTTCAAAATTCAAAAAATTCAAAATTCAATATCGTTTATTCAGTCTAGGCTGTTACAAGCACTTGTGAATGTCGAAAAGCTACGCCATCGGTTCGCAAATCTGCGGCGGGAGACCTTGTACTGAGAAGAACCGGCAAGAAACTCAGCAAGGGCTGTTTTTTTCTCCCTGTATTGTATACAGAGTCGTCAAATTGAAATATGACTTCAATATGAGGTAACTCATAAAGTCACTTTCCATTACAAATGCTAATATAATAAAAATTATGACTATATAAAAAACTGGTTTAACAAAGTTTAGGAATGCCGTGTCCTGCTGTTTAGGCAAAAAAAAATGATTTTAAATCTCATCAAAGGTGCTTAATCAAACTCAGTAAATATGTTAACTTTAATGTAACATTATTATCAGTGAGACAGTGGAATTTCGCATACAAAATGAGTCCTTGGTTGGTTTTACTTCTGTTAATCTGATTAATTAATCCGAAAAGCCCCTTTGGGCTCGTCGTATATTTTACAAAAGGTTAATTTTAAAATCGTTTTATCTTATATATGGATCTGATGTTGTTGGTCATTACACTTATGTCGTGATGAAATTTGATTCTAATTTTACTTAAACGTTGGACAATTTGTTGAACAACTAGTATTATTCAAGTGGCACATTGTCAAAGGCTTTATATCGTAGAAGTTTGCTCGTTATAAAATTTGTTGTGAATTCTTAATAGGTATATCAAATTTTAATTACAAGTATATATTTAGAAGTTTCTGCAATACATTTTGATAATTTCTATGCCTTTTTGAAGCGTGTAGCGAACCATAATGATATGTCATTAAATAAGAGACATTGTCCGTAATGCTTGTAGTGCTACACTCTAGTACGTGGGTACTAGAGTCGTGGGTCAACGCTCTAGTAGTGCACCACAATCTATACCTAGGGAGCTGGTGGCAATTTCGGTATATGATTTCATCATCGCTGATGTCAAGACGTATTGTAGTCTGCGCCTATGTTACCTAAGAAAAAAACGACGTGTTGCACTCCGGGAGTGCCGGCATAGGGGAAAACTTGAATATTAACGTTCATTTTTGATATTTTGGAATGGTTAGGGAGTAATTTTGCACGAATTTCTTTAATTATCAGTATAAAAGTACTATCATTTATGTGGTAGAATACAATATTTATTTATTGTGCTATCGAACACAAATATGACAATTTATGTTACATCAAAAAGTTTATCTCTCAGAATTACTCATTTAAGTACGCACCTAGTGACATCTATTGTAAAAAATGCATTTTCGTCGCAATAAAGCTGCCACCTGGACGTCCTAGATACAGACTTATTATTATAATACGATAAAATAAAATATTACTATTATTCGTCCAATATATTGAAAGTCAACAACCTTTCCGATTTTATTGTTTTCGTCTTACGAATTTTCGATTAATAATACGATAAAATGAAATATTACTATGTTTCGTCCAATATATTGAAAGTCAACAACCTTTCCAATTTTATTGTATGTCATGATGCGATCAGCCCACGTGTTTAACCTGACGCGAGTTTAACATTTTTTACCCATACAAAAAAAAGAGTACAACGCCGCTAAAGAAGTTTTCACCTCCGGAAAAAAGAAATCTTTAGATTTAATCATTATTCTATTGTAATGTTATCTAAGAGTATTGGAAGAGGCACCATAGTGTTAGCCAGTGCAACGATATCACCATCAACACTTTGTTACAGAGGCTGACCTAAAAAAAACTAAATAATGTATCGTTCAACAATTTATTATTATGATTTTAAAGTAATAAAGGAAATTATTCATTGAAATCTACAAAAGTATCTGTAGCTGAAGATGTGCTTCTGAGGCAGCTTCCGCATCCAGTGACAAGTAGGTTGGACATTTTTTCAATTATTTATTTATTACCGGATGGATGATGGTGGGATCAGGGGTGGTGGGAGGTAACATGAAACAAAGGGAAGCCATCAAAGCCAGATACATATTGGACGGGCCCGTCAGCGGTTACACTGGCATTATTAACTTTCTCCCCCACAAAAGCCCTTTACGGCCGACCGAATAAAAAAGAGAGAGAGGCATAAAACTTAATAAGTTACTTTTTAAAACACCCCCGAAGACAGAAATTGTTGCCGCTTCAGACACAATTGTGACCGGGGCAAGACCAATCCGTATTATCCGGGTTTTTGAATTAAAGACACCCCGTGATCCACTTTAATCAAGCCTGCACCCATTATGGGCTGGATTTCACTTTATATTTGATGAAAAAAATATTGTCACTTGGCAAATCGTTTTGCGGCGCGGTTTCGCTGGCGAGCGCAGCGGGGAGCGAGTGTGAAACACGCTTGTATCAGTGACTGAGCAAAGTATTTGTGGCAGATGACTGTATTTTAAGGTTCCGTACCCAAACGGTAAAAATGGGACCCCATTACTGACACTCCACTGTCCATCTGTCTGTCTTTCTGTCCCTAGACTTTATCTTATGCATCGTGATAGCTAGGCAATTGAAATTTTC